TCTTTTTCATGGCTAAGTAGTATTCCATTGTGTATATACAGCAAAGCATGACAACTGGTAAAATCTGAATTAAGTCTGTAAATAAGCTACTAGCACTGAATTGATTTTAATTCCCTTAAATCAAATAGTATTGAGCAGTTCAGTTCATCAAATCAATAATACTGATGTTAACCAACAATGATTCTGATTATTGCACTGGGGTTATGCAAGAGGATCTCCTTAAGTTTAGGAACACACACCACCTCTTATACATAGTTAAGTATTTAGAGGTAAAGGGGTTTTACATCTAAAACTTGCTCTCAAACAATGGAACAACAACAAATGTACATGTGTATCTGATTATGACACACATAGGAAAAGAAAGAGGATGAAACCGGGGTGGTAAATTTGAAACACTTAGAGAATCTAGGTCAAGGGCATTAAAAAAAAATTCTTCCCACTATTTTTGCAACTTTTTATTGCCTACAATAATTAAGACAAAACAAAAAAAATAAGTTTATCTTGTTAGTCTCTCTCCCTGTTCTTTCCCCATTAGAATACTTTACTTTTCTGGTTATCTACACGTTAGATTGTAAACATCATAATGGTAGGGTCTTTATTTTTGCTCCTCAATGAATAAGCAGCACCCAGCACAATACTTTACACTTTACAGGCACTAAGTATTTTGAATGAAAGACTTAAACATGGGCCAGATTAGAGTTTTCTATTCACATTATCTTTTCACTGAGGTCTCCATCAACTGATGAATGGATATATAAAATGTGGTATATCTATAAATGGAATTATTTGTCAACAAAAAAAAAATGAAGTGCTGATACCTGCTACAACATAGATGAATCTTGAAAACATTATGCTAAGTGGGGGGGGGTGAGCCAGTTAAAAACAACAACATATTATATGATTACATTCATATGAGATGTTTGGAATATGCAAATCTGTAGAGACAGAAAGCAGATTTTTGGTTGCCTAGGGCTAGAGGGGTGGGAAGATCAGGGAAAGATACCTAAAGCGTGCTAGGGAACAGGAATGGGGATTCTTAGGGGGTAAAGAAAATGTTCTAAAATTGTGGTGATGATGCACAACTGTGAATATACTAAAGGACGACGAATGTACACTTTAAATGGATAAAATTCATAATATGTAAATTATAGCTCAATAAAGCTGTTTAAAAAAAAAACCTTTTAAGAGCTCTGTCAAAATTTTTATTTGAAAGCCTGATATATGAGGAATTTATGTCTGTGACCACAATCTATGGCATTGAAAATCACATTATAGACTTATGGAATTGTCTATTAAAACGTCTGTTAAAACTAAACCCAATTGACAACTTTGTTTGTCTAATAAAGATTTCCAAACAAAAGCAAGTTCTCTGATACAGACAAAAAGCTACCAGCAATTTCAGCCAATATTGAGCTTTTAAAGGGTGGTTGTGGGACAGAGAATACTCCTTAAGACTAGTCCATCCTTGGCATTCCCCAAGACTCGGCGCTTTCACTGCTACGGCCCAGGTTCAGTCCCTGGTCAGGGAAGTAAAATCCCACAAGCCAGAAAGAAAAAAAGACTAATTGACTAACCCCTTCTCTCCTTTCCAGGCTCATTCAAGTCGAGCCTTCTCTCCCCAGACCCCTCTCTAAACCCTCAGATTAGGCTCAGTGCCCTCCTCTGGGTTCCCAAAGCACCCTACACAGGGTTCTACCCTAGAACTTCTCGAGACGAACTATTTTTCTCCTCCATTAAATGAGGAAACTGTTTTTATCACCTCTGTATCCCTAGCACCTAACACAGCATACAGAAAGGGCTCAACAAAAATTGTGATAAACTTGCACTGTAAACTTGGACCTGTCTGACTTGTATAAGCCTGTTTTCTACTTTTTAAACAGGAATTCCACCAAGTGTTTTATCTAAGAACACAGAAATTGAGATAGGAAAAACAAACTAGGAATTTTATGTAGAAGCACTTGAAAAAAGTACCCTATATAAAAGACTGGTTATTTTATTAATAGGTCATCCTGTATGTCTCAATTTTGTTACGGAAACGGTCTTTGATACTTAGGGTTTAAAAAAGGCATGAGGGGTTGGGAATAAGCTAAAGAAAAGCTGGTAAGCCCGAATTGTTTTTTTACTTTACATATCTCTTTGTCGACTATTATATGCAAAAAAGTCAGCATTTACTTCAACAACCACTAATGCTAAAAATTAATGCTAAATTATTCAGTCAAGTAGCAAAGAATACAACCGCTATACAGGTTACTTTCCAGCCCACTTTACTGTCTCTATGTTCTGAAATGACTCAGAACCACAAACTAAAATTCTATATTTAAAAAAAGAAGAAAAAGATATTTATGACCTGAATGTTGCCACCACACCTCGTAAATACAGCCCCTTCTGCTGCTAAAACCTTTTATGCATCGAGGAGCCCTACGTGTGCTTGACAGAAACCATACTCAAGCAGCTGAATTTAGAACATGCTGACCTTGAGCAAATCAATGCCCTTAGCATGTACTTCTGGCTTATATCACTACAAGAGCTAGACAGCCTCACCATCTATAGCAGTCAACAATTTCTGGCCACCACCCTCTGTCTATTTTAAGATATCCCTACTATGTTTCTGTGCTGCACGGTTCAGAGAAACAGTAACACATGAACCTGTGTTTAAACACAAATCGTTTACTTTAGAACTTGGGCTACGTGTTTCCACTGTGATTAGTTCAAAAATATTTAATTTGGTAAGCTTCCATTTCCTGCTTTCGTTTTTTAAGTACAATATATTTTAAACAAAGAGTAAAAAAATCAAGTATGAGACACTTTTCCTTATTGCCTCATCAGGTTTATAAGTAAACTCAGTCAAACCAAGGTAGAATTGATAAAGTACACACAAATGCTGAAAAATAATGGTTACCTGCTATTTTTATGCTAAATTATACAAAACATTAAAACAGTACCTGATTAAGGACTATATTACATTTTCACCAATTTACCATATTTCCTAACTCTTTTAACCGTTGAACCCAATTGACAGAAACTCCATTTTTAAATTTTTGTTATCCACGCAACAGCAACCAAAATGCTAAATAACACTAGACTTTTTATAATTAAAAAAAATTTTTTTTAACTCTAAACATAGAACTTATAAGTCCAGCACCTATATAGCTTCTGAAATTCAGGTAAATTATTTACTAGAAATTTATGTATAAAAACAAATTAGAAACTACTAGTTGTACTCAGCAATTATTCATACCTTATTTTTCCATTCCCAAAAGAGGCTATTTGTGCAAAAGCCTAATGCTAAAAACCAATATCATAAAATATTTAATATTTCAGACTGCTTTTTCAAGGATTTCTTTTACTCTCTTGAAACATTTAATAAACAGATCATCTCAAGTATAAAAATAAAGCTCTTTTTTTACTCTCATCTAAAAGAAAATATTTCAAATAAAGAAAAGGAGTCAAGGTATTATACATAACTAAATCTGATAGGCCGAATAACGCAGGACCCAAATATAATGGAGCCATTTACTAAGACCTGAACTAAACGCAGAGCCCAAGCAGCTGGGGCCCGGGGGCTTGGATAACACGCCTGCTGACCGCTCAGAACCCACGGAACACAAGCAGACGGGGAAACACCATTTCTCTCATGCTGTTAAATCAGATATTAAAGTAACTTTTCCAGAGAAAAATTAACTAACAGTTAATCTTGTGTTACATTAAACTGGGGAAAAAAATTTGGTTTTGGTCAGGAGCACAGAGGGTCAAATAAATCCAATTATAGGAGATATCAATTAAGACTCATGACACTGCTACAACTACAATACCTTTTAAACCATCTAAAAGGTTTTAAGAACAGCACCTAGTACTCTCAGACTAAAAATTATAACATTAGGAATATAAAGGGTAATTTAGGCTATACTTCTAATTTCTAATATATATTTTAGTAAAGTTAATTATCAACCAAGTGACATAATGTGGGTTTCCTTCCTCCTGTTCTAACAATTTCCAACAATAAACTTCATGTTTTTGTCTATTTACGAACTTATTAATAATGGCCAATATTGTCAGATCTTTTATTTGCCCACTGTGTTGGGGTTTGTGGGGCTCCAGAATACACCAAGACCATAAAACTCATTTAAGCTGAAATGAAAAGAATTTCTCAAAATTATAAGACTATGAATTTAAAAACATTTACAAACTTAAGATATTCTGAATCTTGGTCATGATTAGCTACCCTCAAGACCATTTATTGTGCTCCAGGCTAGCATTATATTAATCATGCCATTGCAGCCCATGAAAATTATTTTCTTCTTTAAATTCCACCCATAGCACAAACATCAAAATAGCATTACCTAAAACATATATGTAAAGAACATAACCAAACTTGTTACGAAAAAGCAGCTTGAACATTTGTGGTAGCCATTGAAGTGAGTTTAAATCTTAAAATTACTAATCAAAGTGACTTTCTATATTTTTAAAACTTTTCTAAATGTTCAGTTATATCAGATGTGTCTTTAAAAAGCTAGTTTTCTTAAGCACTGAAAAATGCCCAAGTAAGTGACTACTGCTCAGTCATGCCTGACTCTTTGCAACCCCATGGACTGTAGCCTACCAGGCTCCTCTGTCCATGGAATTCTCCAGGCAAGATTACTGGAGTGGGTTGCCATTTCCTTCTCCAAAAAAATGCCCAAAGAAATGTACAAAATTTACTCTAAACCCTTTCTCAATATTTAGACTTCCATTTAATCACCATTAACCACCTATCAATCCTTCAGGTCTTCCATTAACAATAAAAATAACCAGATGTCTCAAGCACAGAAATTTGCAGTAGAAATTTCTATTCTGCTTGAGCAGATTTTATGCCTAACTTTTTAAAGCCTCAAACCTAAACTGAACTTATCTTGATCTCTATGTATCCAAAGCAGTCTTTTTCACCACATACACACACAAAATTATTTCATTCAGGAAAAATTCAACACTTATCAAACAACCAAAAAATATTTATCACCTACCTGTAGTACCGAGATTGCAGATATGTTGAACAAACAGTCTTTGACACGTGACTGGCTGACCCAAAGTCTATTACTTTAACCCTGTATGGCTGTCGAACAGGATCCACCAACATAATATTCTCTGGTTTGAGGTCTGCGTGAATTAATCCAAGACTTTTCAATTTTTTCAGTGCAGTAGCCACTTGCTGAAGAATGGGTCGAATGACTTTTAGTGGCAGGGGACTGAACTTATTCTGTTTCAGAAAGTCATATAAGTTTTGTTCCAGCATCTCAAAGACTAAACAAGTATGGTTACGGTGCTGAAAGCATTCGTAAGCGCGTACAAAGTTATATTCATCAGCATTTTCAGTACTGAGCCTTGCTAATATGCTCACTTCTATCTGACCCTGACGTGCATACGAAGGGTGGTTCTTCAAAATTTTGATTGCTACAATTTCATTTGTCCCTCTTTTCCAGCATTTGACTACCTGGCCAAAAGTGCCTCGACCAAGGAAATCAAGGACTTCGTAAGTATTTTTCATGGAGCACAAGACTTCATGTTGTACTAACTGATAGTCACCTTCTCCAGTGGTACAGTTCTGCTTGGTTCCTGTGGTGGCTGTCACAACTGTCACTGGGTTCCCCATGTTGGTTTGCAACATTGCAGGAAGTATGGACACCTCATCGACAATCTGCATTGCGCTGCTCTGATTATCCAACTCCTCACTCTTGCGCTTCAATCCACATCGCTGGGGGCCTTCTAGGAAACTGAACCTGTGCCGCCACGCCCCAATCTGAGGTGCCTCCACTTGAGTTTGCGGCGCCTGAGCTGCTATAACCTTTGTAGCACCCGCAGTGTTTTTTATAACAACAGCACTTGTCTGCAATGAAAGGTTGTGTCCCCGAGGTCTGTTAAATGGTATCTTTGTCTGAAAAGCACTACCCTTCGTGGGAGGATGAGAATTTCCAACGTTTCTACCATTCACATAGGTCCGTGGATAGTTTCTTTCCTGGAATACACAACTGCTTGGCTCTACTTTGAGTTTCTTCACACTACAAAAGGCACTTGACTGGGTTTGATAAATATACGGTGGGTAGACCAAGACTTGTGAGGCCATACCTACAAAAACAAACCAACAAACAGAAAAGGATCACATTAGCTGCAAAAGTTCAATTTTTTAACTCTCGCCAAGAAAACTTTTAACAAATCAAGTCCATAATTTATAAAAAACAGTTAAGTTCCACAAAGATTTTCTTCACCTTGGAGAAGATAAACATTTCACTGTCTCCATTTTAGTTAATTAGTGTTTCAGATATTTTGTGCACTGCATGAAAGGTTGGGACTAAATAGTTGAGAACCTTCAATTAGTCAATATTTATTAACAAGCCACAATGGCTAAGATATGCCCAAGGAACTGTACCAACTATTTTCCCTCCAAAAGAAAATGTACAGATCCTTAAGCTGTACACATCTGGCAAAAGTAAGCATTCTATTACCAATATATCATTTATGAACCAATGATCAAACCAGAAAATATATATTACACAAATGTTGTCATATTCCTTAAACTTAAAGCTCAAGAACTACCTTGGGGAAAAAATCAATTGTAAAAATAAGTATGTGAGTCATTTTCATGATGTTCTCTTTGAAGTCCTTTTCACATCATCCCTGAACACATGTTAACAGTAAATTCCTTTACAGTCAAATCAAAGTGATACAGTGGTTGTCCTTTTTCTTCTTTTGGTCCAGTCCTCAGCAGTGAAACAGTGAAACCAGTGAGTCCTAACCACTGGACCACCAGGGAATTCCTAATACAATACCTTCCTGATGAAGCCTTTCCTAGAACACATACACTCACCGCTCATGCTCCAGGCATGATATGACATGACTGACATTAGGTTATAATAGTCACTGTATAAAACAGTCTTTTTCTCACTAGATCTAAAATGAAGTACTCAGAATATAAAGTTGGTTTTTAATAAATGTTGTTTGGGATTTGATTTCAAAATATTTCCATTCTTCTAAAAAATGGGACTCTCCTGGTGGTCCAGTGGTTAAGACTCCTTGCTCCCAATGCAGGGGATGTGGGGTTGGTTCCTGGTTGGGGAACTAGATTCCGTATGCGGCAACTAAGACCTAGCACAGTCAAATAAATAAATAAAATAACCAACAGATTGCCATTACAATATGTAATATATGCAATACTTAAAATAATAACAGCTACCACCTACTATGCAACAGTTTGACAAATGCTTTATTTGCAGTATTTTATGTACTCCAAGTTTGCTGTTAAGAAAATTAAAGCTCAATGCATGCATGCTAAGTTGCTTCAGTCATGTCCAACTCTCTGCGATCCTACAGACTGTAGACCACCAAGCTCCTCTGTCCATGGGATCCTCCAGGCAAAAATACTGGAGTGGGTTGCCATGCCCTCCTCCAGGGGATCCTCCCAACACAGGGATCGAACCTGCATGTCTTATGTCTCCTGCATCGGCAGGCGGGTTCTTTACCACTATCGCTACCTGGGAAGCCCAAAGGGACTAGTTAGTTGATTCAAGGTCATATACCTAAGATGAAGTAAAATGAACAGGAAGATACACTGCCCCTTCAGGTAAAAGGCATAAATTTATGCCTCTTTCAACTTCCTAAACAATTTTTGTTACTAACTACCGCTTTCCTAAGTTGACCTGGCTTTGGTAAGAAATCAGCTGCAAAAACTTATTACCTAAGTTATTATTATTATCTAAACCTTTTTATCCATTTTCTTAAAATCTTGTTGGCATCTATTCTATGCTGTTACTCGGGAGTTTTTCAAACTCCACCAATTTATCATCTTTTTAATGATGCAAAGCCACATCAATAACTCCTTCTAAACATATCCAGCTTGCTTAACACTGTGAAGCTCCCCAACCTCATCTTCAATAACTTAACATGACCATTCTTATTTCAAATCCCTCTGTAACCCACAATCACAGATATATACAGAACGACAGTCAATAAACAAAATTCCTAAAATAGCAATTGTAAATATACTAATAGATCTAAAGAAAAGCATGAACAAACAGGAGACATGAAAATAATTCTTAAAATGGAACTAGTGAGCCTGGTTAATCCCAGGGACAGAGGAGCCTAGTAGGCTACAGTTCATTGGGTCACAAAGACTCTGACATGACTGAAGTGATTTAGCACACACACATGCATGTTCTCTGATCAAGACTCAGACAATTCAGATATGGTACACGGTACTCACGGAGCACTGTGTGCAAAGAGATCCAGCACCGGAAACAACCAAAACATCCACGCAAAAGGCACGAGTTAGGTACGTTCTGATACACAGACCAACCAGAATCTTTTTGAAAAAGAATGAAAACAACCTATTTAACCTGCTACAACCTGATTCCCAATATTGTAATATGAAAAAGGAAAAATTTAGGAAAATGTGCACTTTACAATAGATATTACCATATATGCTTAATTAAAGGGGGAATTATATATCTATATTTTCGCACATATATTAGTATTTGTACATACATAAATAAGTTGTAGGCTGCTTTGCCTTAGAGAATAGTAAGACTACTGGGGGCAATGAGAAAGATTTACTTTATATGCTCTTTTAACCACCTTATTTTTTACTTTGTACATGTATTAACTGTTCAAAAAAGTTTTTTAATCATCTGGAAACCTAATAAAACATATACATAAAAAATTTCAACATGAAATAATATACTTGGGATATGCTTCAAAATAATAAAGAGAAAGTGGATGGGGATATAGATAAAATGAGATTAGCCATAAACTATCATAAGAGTTTCATTTTAAGTAAAAAGGGGTTCATAATACTATCCTGTCTCCTTTTGAATGCTTACATTTTTCCTTAATACCAAGTTCAGTAAAAATATTTTTAAAATTCCAGAAAGATTCTTGTTCAGTAAGTCTGCAATGAGGTTCAAGTATCTATATGTGTACAAGTTCCCAAGGCCATTTAGATTCACACTAACATCTGAGACTCAATGATCTAGTCTGTACAAAACCCTAGGCAAATTCAAGTCTGACCAATTCAGGGCCCTCAAGTCTGAAACATCCGGTTGAAGTTCTAGATAATAAAAGGTATACCCTCCTAGGCCAATTCATGCCATGTTAAACCAAGGTGTTACATGGACAACTTTATGCCGTAAGAGTGGTGTCATCTGCATATCTGAGGTTATTGATAGTTCTCCCAGCAATCTTGATTCCAGCTCGTGCTTCATCCAGCCCAGCGTTTCTCATGATGTACTCTGCATATAAGTTAAATAAGCAGGGTGACAATATACAGCCTTGACATACTCCTTTTCCTATTTGGAACCAGTCTGTTGTTCCATGTCCGGTTCTAACTGTTGCTTCCTGACCTGCACACAGATTTCTCAGGATGCAGGTCAAGTGGTCTGGTATTCCCATCTCTTTAAGAATTTTCCAGAATTTGTTGCGATCCACACAGTCAAAGGCTTTGGCATAGTGAATAAAGAAGAAGTAGATGTTTTTCTGGAACTCTCTTGCTTTTTCTATGATCCAACCGGATGTTGGCAATTTGATCTATGGTTTCTCTGGCTTTTCTAAATGAAGCTTGAACATCTGGAAGTTCACGGTTCACGTACTGTTGAAGTTTGGCTTGGAGAATTTTGAGCATTACTTTGCTAATGTGTGAGATGAGCAAAGCCAAGAAGAACCAAAGAGCCTCTTGAAGAAAGTGAAAGAGGAGAGTGAAAAAGTTGGCTTAAGGTTCAACATTCAGAAAACTAAGATCATGGCATCCAGTCCCATCACTTCATGGCAAACAGATGAGGAAACAATGGAAACAGTGACAGACTTTATTTTTTTGGGCTCCAAAATCACTGCAGATGGTTACTGCAGCCATGAAATTAAAAGACACTTGCTCCTTGGAAGAAAAGTTATGACCAACCAAGACAGCATATTAAAAAGCAGAGACATTACTTGGCCAACAAAGGTCTGTAGTCAAAGTTGTCATTTTTCCAGTAGTCATCTATGGATGTGAGAGGTGGACTACAAAAAAGTTGAGCGCCAAAGAATTGATGCTTTTGAACTATGGTGTTGGAGAAGACTCTTGAGAATCGCTTGGACTGCAAGGAGATCAAACTAGTCAATCCTAAAAGAAATCAGTCCTGAATACTCATTGGAAGGACTGATGATGAAGCTAAAACTCCAATACTTTGGCCACCTGATGTGAAGAACTGACTCACTGGAAAAGACCCTGACGCTGGGAACGATTGAAGGCAGGAGGAGAAGGGGACGACAGAGGATGAGATGATTGGATGGCATCACCGAGTCGATGGACATGAGTTTGAGCAAGCTCCGGGAGCTGGTGATGGACAGGGAAGCAGGGAAGCCTGGCGTGCTGCAGTCCATGGGGTCGCAAAGAGCTAGACACGACTGAGCGACTAAACTGAACTGAACATGGACAATAGCTGAAAGCCAGATAATTTACCTGGAGATATTAAAGAAACTAATGCAATTTCTGAATCCAGCTGTCACTACTTTTCCTTTTCCAACATGCCAAGCCAGAAGGCAAACCATCAGCTTAATCCAAGGGCCAACTAAAGAAAGTTTAGAAAAAGTAATTACCTCTCACCAACCACGGTGCTCTGGGGTACCAATCTCAAAAAGAATTTTAGAAAATTATTTCTAAAACACAAGGTAGAAATGTCATATAATTTACACAGCAAGAAAAAGGGGGGAGGGGGTAACGCTGGAGATAGTTGTTATAACAGACCACAAGAAAGGAACTCTAAATTACTAATCAAACTGGCTACTGTAACTACCTGCCACAGGTATTAAGTCTTTTCCTTCTCCCACCCACCATCACATTAACTCATAACCTGAGGAGTCTCTTATCCTTGGTGTTCATGAATTTTACTGAGTATAGTCATTACTCCCAGAAGCTGCTTAAGTTCCAAACAATGATTTAGTTCACTACTACATATTTCCTATTATTTGTCATTGCAATACATACTGTTACACCTCTGCAGCTGTATTTCATAACTCTGTCATCTGTTCTTACCATCTAACTAAGAAATGAAGTTTTGAAATACTACCCGTTTGAAAGCTAAAGTTACCTGTACTGTC